TAAAGTTGGGTAGGGTCAGGGTTCAAGTTGGGGTACTGGAGGGTCGGGTTAGGGTTGGGGCAAACCCATATCAAACCCAACCCATTGACATCCCTAATTAAAGCATAGTGATAACGATTCTAGTCTCTAATTTGAGCAGCCTGGGAATGATTTTTACCACATGCATGTAATTTATATAATTTTTTGGCATGTAATTTATATAGAATGAAAATAATACTAGTTTAAATTGGGGTACTTACTTTAAAAACAAGATTAACTAGTTAATTTAGTGAGTTAATAGCATCATTTAAGCTTAAAATAGTGATTAAAAAGCAGGATGCATCAATTGAGCTCACATTGACACCCCACATGCACATCTCAATGTGTGTTGGGAACATCTCTTATACTTGTCATTGGAGATCTTCCCAATACATAGTTGGGATGTGCTATGCGGTACTTGGAAATATTTAGAGAACCAGATTGGACATAGGACTAGAAAATAGAGATATATAAATACTATATATATTATATCTTGCATTTTTTAATATATTTACATATGTTGGATAGATGGCAAGTTATTTACTTTTTAAAATAAATGGTCAGGGTTTAAGTCTTCTAATTTTCATTTTCTATAAAATACGTGTATAATAAGATAATATATACAATAAAGAGTCATTAATTAATAAATAAAAGGATGAATTAGTGATAATTAAGCAATATATGAAGATAAGGGGTCATGGGTTAAAATTTTGTTAGATTTATTTTAAAATTTCAATCACTTAATAGCTCAGACGATTTCATGAAATTGGTATTGGTTCATTGGTTTTTCGGTTAAGCTGACCGATCAACCAATTTTCACCGGATTTTAGCAAATACAATAAGGATAAAAGACTTAAACTTCCCTTGATTTTTAATCTAAATACTAAGACCACCCTTCTTTTTTCAAAATGAACCAACACCTCCCTTGGATGATCTGGTTTTGCATTGAAAAAAACAAGTATGATTGCATTTGCATTGAAAAAAACCTAGAGGTAGAGCACCAATACCCCTACAACAGAATAACCCCAACATCCCATACTACTGAATATGGCAAAAAGTTGATCCAACCTGCGAACCTGAGCCAACCCAAATCAAAAAAATAGGGTTAGGGTCTCATATTGAACTACCTGAATTTGAGAATGACCCGACCTGACCCACGAACCTGAGCCAACCCAAACCAAAAAAATAGGGTTAGGGTCTCATATTGAACTACCTGAATTTGAGAATGACCCGACCCGACCCGGAAAAACTAGGTTGGGTTGGGTCATGGGTCAACCCGTTGACCCGATTGTTAGGTCTAATTGGGACTATTTATGCATTGTTAGAAGTTTCTACTCTTTAATTTTACTATTTAGTCTTTACTCTTTATTGTTTACTCTTTTAATTGTTAAATGTTCAAGTTTTTTCATTTTATATTTAGAATTTTAAGGCTAATTCATTTAATTTTGACATTTTCATGTATTTATTCTTTATTTTTTAAATTTTAATTTTTTTTGAGATGACCCGAATTGACCCATGGGTCAACCCTAACCCGAACATTTAGGGTTAGGATCTAGCATTTGGCAACCCAACCCGAAATTCAACCCGAAGTGGCTTGACCCACCCAACCCAATTGCCAGGTCTAATAGAATGTGATCTCAAAGCACCAAACAAGACAATAGGTGTCCAACAAATTAACACCAAATTGTTCCATGAATTTCAACCCTCTGCAATTCCTGGGTCCTTATCTTAGTAATAAATTATTTTGTCAATTAAGAAAACTATGTTATTCAACTTCCGGTTCCACTAACCTTCCAGTTTCAATTTAGGCCATGTTTGGTTTGAAGGGAAAGGTAGGAAAAGGAAACGAAAAGTGGGGAAATCTATATAATTTCTAATCTCAGAACTTGTTAATCATGTTTGACTTGATCATAGGATTTGCCTTGGAAATTATATCACAACCCATAACCTTGAAATGAAGTATACATATGCATCTTAACCCATACCCCATTCTAGTCTCACAAACCTGTACTCTATGCAGATTTCTGCACCTGCACTTGAGCTCTGACACCTCACCACTTATTTAAGCACTCAAACCTATTCTTTACCTTCACCAATCTCTCCTCTAAATTTCCGTCAAATTCAAACCGAGCCCAAAACAAAACAATTATTAGAAAATGAAGGATCCGATTGTTATTGTTGTGTTGATGTTGTGGGGTTAGAAGATTTCTTATTCATTACTTGTAGTTACAAGTATCTTAAACTTTCAAAATGTGACAATTCAATACTCGAACTTTCAAAATGTGACAATCCAGTACTTGCCGTTAAACAGTCTGTTAATCAGCCGTTAAGTGACATTTGAAAAGTAAAAAAATATCCTAAGAATGCCATCTAGTTCTCTTTATCAACCATCCAAACATTGACAATAAAATAAATAATCCTAAATTCTAGATTATTCTAAACAGTCACCAACTTTTTTGAATAGAAGAGGGTAGAATTTGGGACTATTCGATTTTTCGTCAACGTTTTGGATGGTTGATAAAGAGAATTAGATGGCATTTGAAGGGCATTTTTGACTTTTTAAATGTCACTTAACAGCTGATTAACAGACTGGTTAACGATAGGTACTGGATTGTCACATTTTGAAGGTTTGGGTACTAGATTGCCGCATTTAAAGTTTAGGGACCAAATTGTCACTCAAGCCAAAGTACAAGGCACTAATTGGGACACGGATATACTAAGGATTTCGTTTAAATAATTAAATCCCACCACCTACTAGTTGCTTGGATCCCATTAATTTACAAGATCCAGGTAAAATATCAAGGGTTAATATCTTAAGGGTCCGTTTGGTTGCCGATAAAGGATGGGATGGGAAGGGAAAATTTATTTTCTCATTCCTACCGCACTATGTTTGCTTGTTGAGACTAGTTATCCCATCAAATCTATTCCCAGTGTTTGGTTGTTGAGACTAGTTATCCCACCCAAACCCATAAATTACTTGCAATTTGCATAAACTGCTTTGATTCCTGAGGTTTCAAATTCCTCCTTTTGCTCATCACAATTGACAAAAAGGTGCAACCTAGATAAGTTTGATGGAGAAATAACAACAACGCCTCTATTTGGGAAAGAACAAATTGATTTCTTTCTGGGAAAGAACAAAATCAAACCTAGATAAGTTTGACGGAGAAATAACAATAACGCCTCACATAAATTTTAAGAAGAAATGGCAATCTCAACAAGTTGATTTCTTTCTGGAAATCTGAAAATCCTCGAAGAGAATAGTCTATACCTATGAATTCACTAGATTGTTAAATCCAAAAAAATGAAAACCTACTCATAACTTACATTTGTAGTTAACCCGAAAAACTGAAACTATCGGCGTCTCTATTCCCTTCAACCGGAACCAACAATTAGAATATGCTCTGTTTACTCAAAGACCTTGTAGTCTCTATTGGAAACAAAAGACTCACTAGAGTCGGTTTCTCATTCCAGAATGGAACTTGCTTCCACCGGAATCTATTTTGCCAGAAAATCCTGAAAGACGATGATCTGCTTACTTGCTATTTGGAGATCTGAAGCTCGACTGGAGAGAGAGAGAGAGAGAGAGAGAGGGGAAAGAGAGTTCACGACGATAGAGACGATAATAGCAAGAGGGAGAACGATGAGTACTGCGAACCAAAGGAGTTCCAAAAGGAGGTGACCACGTCGGCCAAGCTATCGGCATAGAGGGAGAACGATACTGTACGTATGAAATTGGCAAGCAGGTCGAAGGAGTCCGAAGCGATGGTGGGGAAGAAACTGGCAAACGAGTTCTCAGGCTCTTGGAAACGGTTGGAAGAACAACGGTAAGCAAGTGCAGAGAGAGGAAGTGCGATCTCAGTGAAGGTGGCGATACCTTGCCTTCGACGATGAAGAAGACTTCGCCAGAGAAGTTCTAACCATTGTAGGGGTGTGGTGCTCGGTTGGGAGACCAGTTCTTGTGCTCTCGATGTTTCTTTCTCACTCTCATCGCAGAGGTTTCATTTCTCACTGGGGTCGCACCTATTTGGTAAGACCCCGCATCCCAAATTTTGAGAAGAGATTTCTCCTTACATCTCACTCTTTCGCCCAAAACAAACGTAAAAAAATAAGAATCTTAAGCGAATACTCCTATTTTTTCATCCCAGTCACACAAACCAAACAGAATATAAACTCCCCTTCACTTTTTTAACATTCTCTCAAAACTTGCCCCAAACACTTTTTGAGCCGATCATTACAAGTTGCTATTTCTACCAACTGTAAATACCAATGATCAATTTCATTAAAAAAAGCATAATACACTTTTCTAGTTTAAATAACTATCTTATACGATGTGATAAAACACATTTTTCAAAAATTTGTATTGATCAACTCCAAAAACTTCATTTAGAAACGGCAATAATACTAAACACAACCTTAATTTTTATATGACAAAACTCAAATTATTTTTCTCACCTGTTTTTCTGCCTATTTGTTGTTCACTCATCTCACAGCCCTCCACCGAGGCCCACCAAGAGCACAATTTGAGTGAATGAATGGGCTTATTTTAGAAACTTTTGGTTCAAAGGGCAGAGTTGAATAGAGGATTATCATTGTAATCTTGTAGGTCCCTGGAGGTATCGCAAGGTTGAGATAAGTTTAAGAGAAAGGACTGTATTAGGTGATGTTTGGTACCTTTTACGTTTATTCAGTAAACGTTTATTGATGTTGCCACATAGGCATCATCTCAGCATTTTCTCTCTCTTCTTCTGCATACATCGAAAATGTAAAAAGTGAACTTTGGTTTATGTGCTTGCCAGCTGTTTGTAGAAGTTATTTTTTGAAACTTCCACAAATGGCAAGGCATTTATTCACTGTTATGCTGAAGTGGCACCTAATGGTGCCCAATTGTCATAAACGGTTGCAATTATTGCATTTCTCGGATTTACCAACAAATAAAGTACAAACGTTTATTCAATAAACATAAAAAGTACCAAACACATACTTAATGAGAACAACCATTATAATAGATTGAGCTGCTGATTTGTACAACTCAGGTACTGGGCCAATCATGAAATGCCGCATAAGCCTGCCATGTGGGACTTGTATATGGAGTTAACCTGGTATTTGTGATTGGCCCAGTAATTAAGAGAACCCTAGAGGATTCAACTAAGAATGACAGGATATACAATGCATTGATGACATTTTGCAACTTGTACATGATGCCATTAAGTTTCCAATCCTGAAATCAGGTCAAGCTATAGTTCATTTTAATATCTCAAGGTAAGATAATGCTATCTTGCTACATAATAAATCTTCAAGATGTTCTAATTTCTCTTTATCTTGTCTTCCCTAGTAAAATTAATTTACTCATGGCTAAACAAATTATGAGTTCTCAGCGTCCATGCGTTCAAGCACCCGCCGTGCCTCCTCTTCTGTTGCTGGAACAACATTCCGAATCTTCAATCCATTTTTCATCGCATCAGGACGCACAGTGAATGTGAAGTGGAATGTATTTGATATCTGTTTTGCACACAAACCCAGAGAAACACAAGACATTATGGGATGATTCCAAGCTTCACGAGGATCTGAAAGAACTTGTAAATAGGTAGACACTGGACTAGGTTTTTCAGGAGTTCACCTCACTAGATCTGAGTTCTGGTCTTGTAACATGAGCTACAACTTCAATATTGATGAGAGGCTGCTCTGGGTTGTGAAGTTCTGTGTAGAGAACACACGATTTGAAGCGCAGGAAATCTCCAACATCAACCTGCATCAGCAGAATATGATAACTCCTTTAATATTTGTTTGTCATTGTTTCTAGTCCTAAAGGAATCATTGATAAAATGGAAAACAACAGTACTAATGCAGGAAAAAAAAGGCTATCTAGAATCTATCAGAAGATTAGATGGGCCCAACATGTGGAAGGCATGTGCAGGGAAGTGGTAAATGATAAAATATGGTCCTTGAAATGAGAAAAGTAACAGAAATAAAGAAGGCAATGTTAAAATTGGGTAAATGTTTAACACTGAGAGGTTAGAAGTGTACTATAGTTTCATTTTTGGTAGGGTAGAAATGAAATCATGTCATTTCATTACAACAAAATGGTAGCTTGATTTAAATATTTTAAATATGAACTCTATCTCTCACATGATCCAATGATCTACCTTTCCATTGCATCAGGTCTCATTTCATCATTTTGACCTTTGTTTCAATTACATCACGTTTCATTTCATGTTTTTGGCCTTCATTTCAATTGCATCAGGTCATTTTAGAATTCTCCCTCATTTAGTTGCTCTATGTAGAGAACACTGATGTGGGTCCCACAGCTGTGGTCCCACTCTGTCCGTAGGGTAGAATGTATCTAGTCATAGCTGATGGTCAATCTGTTATTCTGTTATTCTAGTTGTTATTTACTTTTCAGTTTTATATTGTTGTGTGTTATGATGTAAACACCAAGGGCAGATGTGTCCTTTCATGTAACTAGCATAACA